GCCTCGGTGCCGGCTCTCTATGTTTGTGGGCTCCATTCTGTCGACCCTGCCGGCGGGGCGGGTGCCCCCGCGGCCCTGGCGCCGGCTGCGGCTTCGGCTGCAGTGGTCGGCTGCCCCTAGCAGCCGGGCGCCTCCATGGCGGTCAGAGCTGGATGAGGGCCCCACTTGCACTGGCGGCGGCTGCGGACAGAGAGATCACTGCTGGTTGGTTCTGGACGAGAGGGGCCTGGAGATCGGCCGGATGGGTCGCAAGCTAAGCGCCTTGCGTTCAGAGGCCCTCCAGCGCGCGTTTCCCACACAGTGCGACAGATGTCCCAGACTTGGCGTTGGCGCCTGCATTCGAGGGCCGCGCTTTCGACGCGCGTGGCTCTGAGCAGCGGGGCGCAGCTGGGGCGCTGCATGTCCTCCGTCAAGCTCGCGATGCACTGGTGCATCCAGCTTGCGTGAGCCCCCCATTCCTCGCCCCGCGGCGGCCGCGTCTCGGCGGCGCCCTGCGCGCCGTCGAAGACGTCTTGAGATGACAAGAGACCTGCCCTCATAATAGGCACCCCGACAAACGGAGTCGTTTAGTAAACGCACCCGAGGAAACAATCGAACAAGGCAAAGCGGTTTAGTAAACGTCCAGGACGTTTAGTAAACGCCAATTATCGGGGTCAGGGTGGCCCCTCGCTCGCCAGCCCCTGCGTCGCGCAGTTCTGGCATGCGCGTAGCCCTTGAGCCTTTCAAGCATGTGTGACCTCCCCTGCCGTTCGGATCTTCGGTTGGCTCGTCGGCTGGGCAAACGTCGCTGGCGGGGTCTTCAATAGGGTCGTCGCCATCCGCGCGGTCCGCCACGCGGGCGTCAGGACTGGCGCCGCTCGGCTCCGCTGTCGCCATTCCCTCTGCCAGAGGGCTCTCGGCCCAGGGGCGGTCGGAACTGGTGCTGCCGTGCGCCCCTGTCATCGCGCCGTCCTGGAACGCCGTCGGTGAGTCGAGGGTCTGACGGGCCGCGCCCGCGTCGTGCATGGCAGCGCGCAGTGCGTGAACGACATTCATGCTGCGTCACTCGGCTGACGCGGGGCTGACCAGGGGCCTCCTTGCCCTTGGCGCGGGCTCTCCGTCGTTTCTGCAGCTGGTGGACATTCCGTCGTCGTGGTTGGTCCGCCAGGCTGGCAGCTGGTGGCGCGCCCTGACAGGCCGTCAACGCTTCCCGCGGCCTCGGCGGGGTAGCAGCGCCCTGCGTGGCGCTGGCTGTTGCGGCTGTTCATCGCGTTGGCTAGAGGCCTGGCGAGGATTAGGGGGGGCGCGAATAAACCTCTGGGCGACGCTGGCGGGGTGTTGGCGCCCTCGTATTTTGCGCATGACCTAGCCATGTCGCAGACCTCCTCGTCGCGCAGGGTCGGGTGTGCCTGTTCTGGGCTGGCCCCTGGCTCTCCCACTGTAGGTTCCGCGGCTTGCCTTGCTGCGCCGCCAGGGCGCCAGTTCGTCCTCCTGGCACTGTTGCCGCGCCGTTTACTTCCATGCGGCGGGGTGCGCGGGGGCGCTGTCCCTCTCTGCTCGTTCGGCAGCGGCGTCAGTAGGGCATGCAGATATGGCCCGGAGGCCGCTCGATGGCGAGGCGCCGGCGCCCGGCCTGCCCGGCGGCGCATCTGCCGCGGGCCGCATTCCGAAGCATTGGTCTCAGGTGAGACGATCGCTCGGGTCGGCCCTTGCCGGGGGCTGGGGGGCGCTCTTGGCGGGGGGCTCGATCATGGCGATCGCCCAAGGCATAGTGGGTCCTTGGACATGCGCGGCGGCGTTTGGTCTCGGCGCGGCCGCCATGGCGAAGTCAAAATTACCTCGGGCGGTGTTGGTTCCATTCTGCTCGTTGCACTTCACAGCTTGATGGATGCGAGGGCCTTATAGATCGGTGTTGCCCTGGAACTCTGCGGCTCGATGCCCGCGATGCTGTGCCTGGCGTTGGCGTGTGCGGCATCGGTGCCTCTGAGTTCGAGCGCAACCTGCTCGGCCTCGTTGGCGTCGAGCTCGGCGCGGCTGCTCAGTTGTTTATCCGCCGCGTTCTGGCGGCCGTTTGGATGCCGCGCCGCGATGTTATCGCAAGGCGATGGCCCCTCGGTACCGCGATGGCTGACGTCGAACTGGATGCCACCCTGTCCAGGCGCGTGGGTAAAACCATGGGAACATCTGCTGGTTCGACCCCAAAAGGGGCCGTCAGCCAGCGTTTGCCCGCGCCGGTTCCGCATCGATCCAGGAACTCCATGTGCTCTTGGATTTGCACGGTGCGGAAGAGTGAAATGATAATGGCCTTGAAAGCGTCTGTGAAGTCATCGTCCAAGTATTGCCGCGCGCTGTCGCGCTTTGCTCCCTTGTGGCGCTCTTTCGCCTTCAACTGTGCCGCGCTTTCGTTTATAGCTTTCGTTTCTAGCTTCAACTGGTCCTAGCGGCGTGGCCGCGATCGCGTCCGCTTTGCATATGGCGCCGCGGTTCCATATCGCGCCGTCAGCTGGGTCGAATGTTACCTGCACGACGTATTGGAGGCAATTGACCTCTGCGCGTCCCAATTGGTGGATGGTCCCGTTTACTTGCCCTGGCGTCGGCTCGGTAGCCTTTGCCGTCCGTTGGGGAACAGGCGTGAAAAGGGCCTCATTCCCTGAGTAATCGTCGTTGGTTGGTACCAAAACGGCTCGCGCTAAGGGTTTATCATGCCCGCAGATTTGTTGCAGGAGACGGCTACCGTTTTCTAGCGATTGGAGTGCGATGCTACTGGTGCATGATGTCCCGTTCTCTGCCTTGGCGGGGCCGAGCGCGACATGGGGCATCCCAATTTCATGTGTCAAGGCTGATTGGTGAAGCGGTGCCGTCGCCCTGGTTGGAGTCCGCTGAAGTCGCGGGACCGGGCGAATCGCGGCTGGAACCCGTCGTGTGCGTGAGGGAGTCGTGCACCATGATGTAGATGATTTTGTTGCCCCCGCACAGTTTCATCAATTCGCCCCTGAGCTTGCGCTGGTTGGAGCCGTGTGTTGGGTAAATGCTGCCGACATCAAGTTGATGTTTGTGAGCCAGTTAGTTAGTTGTGTGAAGCGACTCTTCGGTCGACGCCACCACCGCTTTGGAGTGCGGCGGCGCAGCCTTCCTTTGGACTGCGATTGGTACCTGGTCGATCGAAGTACCCTATGGCTGGCCCTTGCCTAGTGGCCTGGGCTGCGGCGGTGCAGAAGGCGCAAGGCGTGGGCGATTCGGAGCCATGGCGAGCGTATCGAACTGAAAAAAGGCTTTATTCGAATCAATCGCACGCTGGATTGGCGGGTGTCTACTCTCGCGATGCGCGTTCACCGGAAGTGCTGAGCGCTTCGAGTTTGTAGCTACACCTAAACTCGAAGGTGCTCGAGCCAAGACTCGTCGGATGTTTGGTGAAAGACATGGAGGGGGAGAGGGAGGGAAGGAGACACGAGGGCAGACGATGGAAACCCCAACCAACGAATGCAGAAACGTAAACATCCGCAGGTCCGCGCGGATATCTGAAGTCCGCGCTGGGCATCCTGGCGGCGCCTCCTTCCCCGCCCCTGGCGCGCATCGTGCACCATTCGAGGGGGGTCGCCGATAACTGATGCGCATGCTATTGTGTTGCTTTCGAGGCAAAGAAGGACGACGAGAGAAGGACAAAGAGCTCCGAAGGTCGGGCGGGCAGAACAGAATCGATGTCTAGCTGAGCACGCTCGAAAAAGCTGCCTGGCGGCGCGCCAAAGCACACCGGCGGCTGCAGGCTGTTCGATCAAGCGGCGAGCGTCCGTGCGAGGCAGGAAGCAACGGCACGGCCCACGGAGGGCGCTGAGTAAATGCCAACATTCACATATATCTATATTGATGCGCACCTGCCTGCGTAGCTACATGCACATACATATATATATATGTGTGAGAGAGAGAGAGTGTGAAGGGGACGCAACAAAGGAACAGAGAAATATAACGAGAGAGGGAGAGAGAGAGAGGGACAACGCGAATGAATGCAAAGGGCGCAGCGACCTTACACGGTGACCAATTCAGCCCTCCGACGCGGCACGCCAGGCGGAGAAGAGGGCGCTCACGCGCGACCCTACGAGGGCGACCTGCGCGCGAATGTCTGGGTGGTCGAGCTGGTGCAGTTCTTTACAATCAAAACATGGCCGCAACAACGCGAGTCAAGAAAATAAGCGTCTTCGTTGAAAGCCACCTGCCCCCATGGAGATGTCCGAAACAGATAAGATTCCTAAGTGGAGCGCCGCAAACGCGACAAGCGTAAGGGCAGCACTCCAAAACTGGGACTCGTGCTACCCCTCGTGCCACCTGTGCGTCACCCCGACGGAAGGAAAGCCCGCCGTAAGTGCAGGCGCCTTGAGGCAATTACATATTCGCGCGGGCATCTATCCTCGACGCCGGCGCTGTGCGCAAGGTGCGCGAGCGGGGAGCGCGAGGCTTCGGGGCCCCTGCGGGGCTCCGGATCTGGCCAACATCGGCGCGCTTCCCCAGAGCGCCGACCACGGCATACCCCATATGATTCCAATCGGTTGAAATTCCGGCCAGCGCCCTTACATATTTCTTCGCTTGCAGGTCACAACTCTGCTCAGCGCAGAGTCGGCGCGGGCCTCCCGCCTGCCCATGGAAAGCACATGGACTGCGAGGAAGAGAGGGGAGAGGTAGGATACGGAGGAGGCGAAGGGAGATGCGGACAAGCGGCGAGGGTTTAGTGGGTACTGGACACGGCAGAGTCGGTTTTGCTCCTGGTTCCGGCGCTCTGGCTCTTCAATGTGGACACGCTGAACAAACTGCACGCCGTACGTACGAAAAACGACGCCAACATCGGAACTGGAACCGAACAACAACAAACTGGACAAACTGGACCCATAACAAAACAACTGCCCTGTCGTTTCAGGGCCCACCAAGGGAGGGAGAGAATTGGCTAATGAACGCTGCGTGGTGGCTTCAGAGTAATATGCCAGCGAACACGATGCGCACTCCAAAAAACAGCGAGTCGCGAGAGACGCTGCCTCGTGAGAACGGCGGCGTAACGGGAGAGTTCTCGCACGAGTCCATTCCGCTCACGGTCCCAATTCTCCTGGAGCGGGACGGGAGACGGTGAAGGAAAGGAGGAGGAGGAGGACGGACAAGTTAGGAAAGAGGGAGTAGAGAGGCTGAAGGAACTGAGGGCCACATGCGGAAGTTACAAGCAGGAGCCAAGACCCAACTGGGGGATGATTCTCCGCTCAATCGAACCACGGCTGGACAGTGCGAGCTCTCGGTGCCGAACTTTACCACGACCACCCGAAGCCACCGATCCGCCTCACGGCTCCAGCCAGCCTGAGGGGCCGCTGCGTGTGGGTCGGGCTCGGAGGCTCTGCTGATCTCCTCTGGCGCTCCACCGCCTGCGCCCCTGTCGTTTGACGACCTCGAGGGACGGCTGCGGCGGGGAGGGGTGAAGTCATTCGGACGGGCGGCGACGAGGCGAGAGGGTGGACTGGGGAAGGGGGGGCGAAATGTGCACGAGGGGGGGGATGCCGGAACTCGCGGGGGGTCAAGGCGCACGTGAGGAGGGGGGCGGGGGGGGAGGGACGTTCTGGGGGGCTGCCCGCCGCGCCCAGAGTCCGGGGAGCTGGGCGCGGCGCGGGAGGAGGAGGAGGAGGAGGAGGAGGAGGAGGAGGAGGAGGAGGAGAAGGAGGAGGAGGAGGAGGAGGAGGACCAGTGTAAACGCATGACTCAGCAAGATGTCAAACTACACGACGAACGAAACACAATTTCTGGGACATCACTCAAAATAACCCCTGAAACAGCTGGAAACTCGTAAGGCGAATGTGAGCGGCGCTGGGGCGAGGCCATTTTGAAAAGGAACCACCCTCCATCCGTGAAGCCCTTGCAACCTTTAAGACGAATGCGCACGGTGCTAAGGCGATAACCACAACTTGAAGAAGGAACCGCCCTCCATCCGTGAAGCCCTTGCAAGCTTGCGACGCGGATGTGCGAGGCGCTAAGGCGAGAGCCACATTTTGAGAACAGCCCGCCCTCTTTCCATGAAGCTCTTGCGACCTTTTAAAACGAAACTGCGCAGAGCTCAGGCGAGCATTACATTTTGAAAGCGGCCCGCGCTTCATCCGTGAGGCTGTCGCAAACTTCAAGCTTAAGGGTCATGAGTGGTGAGGACGTCTCAAGCGAAACGCACAGCCCGCCCTTCCGACACGTCTCGGGGTGCGACAGGGAGGAATTATGTTTTGATCAAGACATGGAGGAGGAGAAAGAGGAAGAGGAGGAGGAGGAGGAGGAGGAGGAGGAGGAGGAGGAGCTCCGCGAAAGGAAGAAGGAGGAGAAGGAGGAGGAGGAGAAGAGGAGAAGAGAGGAGGAGAAGGAGGAGAGGAGGAGGAGGGAGGAGGAGGAGGAGGAGGAGGAGGGAGGAGGAGGAGCTCCGCGAAAGGGTGGGGGGCGGGGCGTGGCAGGGCTCGGGGCATCGCCAGCAGGGGGGGGGGGGGCGCGGGGTCCTTCTCCTTCTCCTCCTCCTCCTCCTCCTCCTCCTCCTCCTCATCCCTCTCTACCTCCTCCTCCTCCTCCTCGTCCTCCTCCTCCTCCTCCTCATCATCACCTTCATCATCATCATCATCATCATCACCTCGTCCTCCTTCTCCTCCTCTCCTCCTCCTCCTCCTCCTCCTCCCCCTCCTCTTCCTCTTCCTCCTCCTCCCCCTCCTCTTACTCCTCGTCTTCCTCCTCCTCCTCCTCCTCCTCCTCATCATCACCATCACCATCACCATCACCATCGCCATCACCATCACCGTCACCATCATCATCATCATCATCATCATCAGCATCATCATCATCATCATCATTATCATCATCATCATTGCCATCATTGTCATCATCAGAGAATCACCATCGTCACCATCATCAGCAGCATCAGCATCAGCATCATCATCCTCACCATCATCCTCATACTCGTGCTCATCCTTCTCCTCCTTATCATCATCAACACCAACAGCATCAGCATCAACATCACCATCAACTTCATCAGCATCATCACCAAAGGCCTCCGCCGCCTCATCATCATCAGCATCATCGTCGTCATCATCACCATCATCGTCATCAATATCAGCATCACCATCACCAGCAGCATAATCATACTCATCATAATCATCATCATCACCATCATCATCACCGCCATCATCATCAGCAGTATCATCATCATGACCATCATCATCATCATCATCATCATCATCAGCATCATCATCATCATCAGATAACCACCATCGTCACCATCATCAGCATCATCATTTTCGTCGTCAGTGTCATCATGCTCAGATTCAGAGTCATCTTCATCTTCATCAGCATCATCATCATCATCCTCAGCAACATCATGATCATCGTCATCATCATCACCCTCGTCCTCATCCGCATCCGCATCCTCATCCTCATCCCACTCCCTCTTCCTCTCCTCCTCCTTTTCTTCCGCCTCCTCCGCCTCCTTTGGAGGGGGGCTCCTTGAGCTCCGCGCGCCTTTGCTCGAGCTTGCCCATCCTTCTCTGCAGGGCCCTCATGTCCTCGTCCTGCAGGGGGGCGCGGGGGGCAGGCGGCGGGATCGAGAGGGCGCCAGCACGATGTGCCAAGGCGGGGGAGGAGGAGGAGGAGGAGGAGGAGGAGGAGGAGGAGGAGGAGGAGGAGGAAGAAGAGGAGTAAGAGGAGGAGGAGGAGGAGGAGGAGGAGGAGGAGGAGGAGGAGGAGGAAGAAGAGGAGGAGGAGGAGGAGGAGGAGGAGGAGGAGGAGGAGAAAGGCGGGCGGAAAGGTAGGAGGGCGAAAGGGTAGGGTAGATAATCAGCTCACGTATCTGGTTTTCCTGGCGCCTCCTGGCGCCAGGAGCGCCCACGTATCGAGGAGCGTGCCCGGCGGCGGGGCCGAAACCAGCTGCACGCAACAAATTTCGTAACCCACCCGTTCCCTATCCTGCCTGTTCGTCTGGCCCAAAAGAAAACGAGGAAACGAACGAGAAGGAGGGGGAGGAGAAGCGTGTGCCGGCAAGCGATTGGGGCGCGTCCGCAAGGCGCCCTCCCGCCGAGCAGTCTCCCCTGTCATCCTGAAGAGTTGCCTGGGCAGCCACGGTGACGGGCACGTCCCCCTGACGCCCCAGGAGCCGAAAGGAACAGAAGAGCGGGCACACTGCATGGGCGGGGGGGTCCCTCCTCGCATGTTTGCCCGCCGCCCTACGGCACGCGCCGCGCTGCCTCCGGCCACCTGCCCCACCAAGCCACTGCCGCCACTTCCTCGTTCCCCTCTCTCCCGCACCCCACCTTGTCAAGGCAAGCGTGACGCGCCCACGAGCGTTTTTAGACACGGGCACGGACAACCGAGGCCGCGCGCGATGCGACACGCCATCAGCCCCAGTCAGGCATTCCACCCCCTTCTCTCATGTCACGCCCCGCCTGCCCACCCGCGGGCCTGCACTGCAGAGCAGGCCCCGCGGCCGCCAACGAGCGGCCACTGCCGCGCCGAATCCAGGCGCCCCGCCGGACATACAGTCGGGGCCTTGACCGAAGGAACGAGGCCCTTTTTTTCCATAAGTTAACCTTCGATTTCCGATCGAAAGCATAAGGAAAACCTGAGGCACGCTGCGAAACACTTAAGGAACGCGGAGCCCCTCCCCAACGAAAAGGGTTCCTTGTTCAGGGCCCCGACTGTAATCCCCATGTGGCCCGGGGGGAGGGGGAATGTGGAGAGGGTTGGAGCGCGATGGGGACCGACGTCGGCCACAACCATCGGAGTCCAAGCCTCTCGTGGCCTGGAAGGGCCCCCGGAGCTCCCCCCTCCTTTCCCGGGAGCTGTAGGGGCTTTCCGGGGCTAGGGCTGTCCCTCCTCGCTCCCCTCTCCCGTCTCTCCTCTTTTCCTTCCTGTCCTCGTCTCCCTCGCCTCCGGGTCACCTCCCTTGACCAGCGGGGGTCAACCGACACTCCGCCGCAGCGCGAGCGCCACCGCTGCCATTCCCCAGCAGGGGTGACCGTCCCCTGGGGGAGGACGTGGCAGCGTCCTGGCGATACCAGTCACTACAGTGCACAGTGCACAGGGGAAGGAGGAGGGGGAGGAGGAGGGGATGCCAGAGGAGGAGGGGGAGGAGGAGGGAGGAGGGAGGGGGAGGAGGGGGAGGCGGAGGGGGAGGAGCCCCCTTTTTTTTACTCGACGAGTGGGGCCTTGTGCCAAGCCGATGCGTGTCAGCAAAATGTGTATAGTGATGGCGGCCCGTCGCTGGATCGGGCATCTCTAGCCCGTCCTGTCCTGGCACAGCTATGCAGGCGAGTGCGCTCGGCAGTGCTTCAACGTCGAGGCGGGGGTCAGTCTGCATGCGAGGGTAAAAATTGCGCCTCTCTCGGAGGCCCCGTGCACCATGCTGCGAAGGGGCGGGAAAAAGACAGAGTGGCATTCGGCACAGGCCAATGCGGGGCCGCCCTATTCGTCGAAGTCAAACGGACAGTAGTCGTCGATCTGATCGACTGCAGGCGCGGCAGGCTGGGAAAAGGCTGGAGATGCAACAACGGTGCCCCCTAAGGTTTCTCCTTTTACAAACACTACTTGCTGAGGACGTCGAGCCAGCTCGCTAGCTCGTCCTCCAGCCAGCCTGGAGGGGCTGGCCCTGTGTGGCGGGTGGCCCGCCCCTCTGCTATGAACGCGTGCGTCACCACGCCCCTCATCGGCCACTGCGGGGCCGCGATCTGGATCTTCACCTTGGTATCGTCGTGGCACTTCTCGACCCTGACCGCGGCCACGTCGAGCTCGATATTCATCCTCGTGATTGCTGGCTCTACTCCTGGCTCCGACGGGGTGATGCCGTCTAGATACGCTGCGATGTCCTTCTTGCTCTTGCCCCCAATGTCCAATGTCGGAGGGGGAGGAGGAGGAGGAGGAGAGGGCGGGAGGAGGGAGGAGGGGGAGGAGGGAGGAGGTGAGGAGGGGGGGGAGAGGGGGGGATGAGGGGGGAGGGAGGGGGAGGAGGGGGAGGCGGGGGAGGCGGAGGGGGAGGAGGAGGGGGAGGAGGAGGGGGAGGAGGGTGTAGCCAGAGGCGTCAGGATTTCCAAGGAGGGCCCCACGGCCTCCAGAGCAACCCCCCACGAGGCGCAGAGGGGCCTCCAGGGCACCCAAGTGGAGCAGCGCGCCAGAAGGACGAACGGGGGAGAGGAGGACGACGACGTCGCACCACTGCCTGAGCATTCCTCGCCATGGCCGTGGCTCCATGACCACTGCTGAGCCCCGCGGTGCCTCGCGGAGGAAGCGCGGCCTAGCGGGGGGGCGCGCCCCCCCCAAAGTGCCCGAGGGGCCCCCCAAAGCCCCCCAAGACGCCTGCCTCTAAGACGCCCCCGAGACGCCTCCCAGGGCCCTCGATACGCATGCAAGAGGCCCCTCGTTCACGACCCAGGCACGACGCGGGATCGGCGAAATGCCACTAGATAACCATATCATCCATGCCCCCTCGTCCCTTCTACCCCCTACCCCCGCCCCCTCCGCCCTCTCATCATACTTTTTTTCTTCCCTCCCCCTCTTCCCTCCCTCCCCTCTCATCTGTCAATTTTATCATGCTTCATCTCCCCCCCTTCCTCCTTGACCCTCATCCTTCCAACCTCGGCCCTCCCCCCTCAGCCCTCCTCCCCCCTCTCTCCCTCCCCCTCCTGGCGCTGGATCTGCCACTCGTAGTGCTCCTGGAGCTGCTTGACCTCGAGCTCCTCCCCGTGTCTCGCGGGGCATCGGCCAACAGACGGACAAAGGGGGAGAACAGAGAGGGGGAGAAGGCTGCGAGCGCCCCCCCCCCTTTTTCACGCGCGCGCGAGCGCGCGGGCGCACGCAACACTCCCGCGCGAAGGCGACGCCTCGCACGCGCAGGGGCAGACGAGCGAGCGTGCGCGCACTTTTTGTTACCACCCGTGCGAAGCCCAGCGGCAGCAGGAGAGAAATGAACGCGCACACGCACACACACACACACACACACACACACGCACACACACACACACGCACACACGCACACGCACACGCACACTCACGCACGCACACATATTCTGGCGTCGCGGCTCCGCGCGCAGAGACGGGGCGTAGAAAGTCGAGTGCATGCAGCGGAGCGCGCGCGTCTACCCCCAGTCGAGCTCTCAATACGCATGCACACATGCATAGACACACGCGCACGAGAGCGGCGCGCCAGCTGGTCGCCATCGGCGGCCAAATGCAACCAAGACAGGGCGCGTGCAAAATCCATTGACCACCTTGTGTGGCAACATAAAAAAAAAACAAAAAACGGCATGAACGTAAACTTTCGACAGTCCGCGCGGATTTTTTGGACCTGCGCTGGCCCCCGTTTCCTGGCGCGCGGAGCGCGCCAGAGGTGGCGCCGGAGGCGCTGCCAAGGAGGCCAGCGCAGAACCAAAAAACTCGCGCGGAGCGTCGGCATTTTCTGTTTGCGTACATTTCCCCTTTACTCATGCAGCCACACAAGGTGGCCAATTGATTTTGCACGCGTCCCGTCTTGGCTGCGCTTGGCTGCCGCGGGTCGCTTGAGCGCCAATGTCGGTGAACACGGCTCATTCGCCCTGCGTCGTTCATCTTGTGTGGCAGCATTGCGGTCGGGAATTTTCGCTTGGCGTGTCGCCGCGGCGGCCCCGGCGACAAGCCATCCCCTGCAAGTGGATAAAGCGTCGCTCCGCTCCGCGGGGCGGGAAGCTCGGAAAGGCTCGGGACGTTGACGTTGGGCGGGCCGGAAATGTTGCGACGAAGCGCGGTGGGTCAGAACTGGCGGCGCGACAAGCTACTACGCTTCAACGGAAAAATGTCCGATCAAAAACTCCCCGGACTACCCGTTGGACAACCCAGACAACCCAGGCTGATTGATGACGACAGGCGGACCTCTCCCGGACAACCCCTTGAACGACCCAGCGGGGATCCAGACGACCCCGCCAGACACCCCCCCTTGGACAAGCCGCCCAGAGCTTCTCCTTCCACCAGACATGGTAAACCAGACTTCCCCACCGCGAGCCGGGACGCGCCCGTGCCTGGCTCGCTCCGCCTGGCGCGGCGCGGCGCGGATGTCTCCGCGACGCCGCGGGCGCCCTGCCAAGACCTCGGGATGGGCGGCCCCGATGGCGGGGGCGGGGCCCGCCGACCTGGGGGGGGGCGGCCCGAGGGCGCAGGCGGCGTCCTGCGCCTCCTCCTCCTCCTCCTCCTCCTCCTCGTCCTCCTCGTCCTCCTCCATTTCCTCTTTCTCCTCCTCCCTTTCCTCCTCCTCCTCCTCCTCCTCCTCCTCCTCCTCCTCCGATCCCTCCTATATATATATATACATTATATATATGTGTGTATACACATCGGGTTGCGCTAGGTGTCGCAAGAGGCGCCACTCGAAGAATTCAGCAGGGCCAAAAACGGGGGTGACCCCGTTTCTAAAATGTGCAGCACAGATCACGCAATGACATGCCACGCGAATGCACGACGCGACCTGCTCAAGCATCAACGACGCTGTCTCTGGCACGCGCGGCGACCCTCGCCGTAACGGCGCTGGTACTCTATACAGTGGTTGGCAAGCGGAAGTGCATGTATCTGTATAGTACACACGCACAAGCCGCCCCAGCCGACTCGGCGAGGGGGCTGCGGTTACACGGTGTATTATCAACAATATCGCAAGCAAATGCGCGCACAAGCCTGCCTACGCGCGCACATGCCGAATGCACGTGATCACATTACTACTGAATTGCGACAGAGGTCACAGCAGGGAAGCCTGCTCACACTGCCGGGCCTCTGCCACGAATTCGCGACAATGAGACAACAACGCAGTCATGCCGCGCACCCCTCATCCGAAGCTGCAGAGCCGCACCCTCCGCAAGACATGATGTGACGATGCCAACCCTGCCAGGATGTCATTCAAAATCAAAACATCATTGATTGCAATCGGCTCCATGCCACCGTCTATGGTGAGCACGTGCAGCGCAAGGGTGTCTCCGATGATGCCAGCACCCTTCTTGGCAGCCAGCCTCTTGGCTAGCTGCCGGACCTCTTTCCGCTTGTCAACGCTCTGCGTGCGCAGAACCATCGGGTCCAGGGCGTGCTCGGACGTGTCAGCGCCGCTGGAGATGAGGAAGAACAACTGGACCTCAGCCTCATCGGCGAAGGACTTCACCATCCCCTCCAAACTCAAGAACTGCTCACACGCCAAGTCGTCGCCACCATCATTGTCGGCATCTTCCTGCCCCAATCGATCAGCACCGCGAGGGGCTGCAGAGTCCGCCTGTTCTCCCGAAGGCTCAGGGTCGTAACAACCATCGGCTCCGAACTTCGACTCCGCGGTCTGCTCTGGTAGAGGCCAGGGCGGGATCGCCGGGAGGGAGCTCTCGCCAATTGTGCTGCCAGCGCCGGCGGCGCCGGCGTCTTCCGCAGCAGCGCCTGCGAGGGCGGTGCGTTACTGGCGTCGCCACCCAAGCAGGCGACAGGCCCTTCCGCGGAGGCTGGCGCGCAGGCCGGCGAGCAACGCCGGGTGGGCTCGTCCTGGGAGGTACGTGCCGCTGACGGCAGCGGCTCCAACAGCGGCCCCGGCAGCAGCTCTGGCCGGGGCGCCGGCAGCGCGGCCGCCTCGGGGTGGGGCGCGTGGGCCATCTGCTCCAGCGTCCGGCTGATCACCAGCACCATCTGCGTGATCCCGTCCACATGGGAGGCGCACTTCCAGCCTTTGCATGCGGGCAGGCCGGCTGCGGGCCAAGCCAGACGGTAAAGCCGTCTGGGACCCACACCCACTGCCACCTGCCCGGCGGGAGCCGGCGGGGGGCGACGGCAGCGGGCGATGGCGAGTCCGCCGACATGGCGCCGGGGCTCGCGGCTGCACCGAAACTTCACGCGCAGTGTGCGCCCGCGATCAGCGCCGGCGATCGCATGCCGAGGAGAGGCTGGGTCCGGGAGCCGGACTGGCAGAGTATGCATCGGCACCCTGGTGCCACAATGGTAAAAACACCAGCGGCCCGCGCGAGAGGCCTGACTGGGCCGCCTCGCGCGCGGAGCCTTGAGCCCAAATGGATACGGCATACATATATGTGTATATATGTGTATATATATATATATATATATATGCATGTATAGATGTAGTATATATACATATAATCCGCCACCGCACCTTCGGCACGTAGTGGAGTGCCCCATGGCTCATGCAGCTCTGCGAGGTAGAAGGTTTGTGGCTCGTAAGGGTTCTGAAAAGGCCCAGACCTCCAGTTTCCCAGGCGGTCCTGTGCGCCACTGCGCCCTGCCAGGGTGTGTCGCCTGCACTTTTGGGACGCCAAGAGAGCCCCAAGACTGAGCAAAAGGACCCTGAGAGGCTCCAAGGACGGCCGAAGAGGGTCCCGAGTCGTCGATCGATCGGTCCGCGATGTCCAAGATGGCCGCCAGACGACCGAAGATGCCCCCAAGACCCTCCAAGAAGCCTCCAAGGGGCCTCCCGAGAGGCAAACATCATTGATTTCCGTAGGTTTGGGACAGATTTGGGCGTTCTCGCCTTGTCGGCTTCCCGACGCTCCAGGACAGCCCAAGAGGCCCCGACGATCACCCCAAGACGGCCCAAGGGGCCTCAAAGAGAGTCCCCAGACGGCCCAAGATGGCCCCAAGACGGCCCAAGAGGCGCCCAAGATGGCCCAGAGGCACCCAAGACGCCTCCAAGAGGAGGCCCCGACGGGGGACCCGAATGGACATTTCGAGCTCTCGACCCCGGGAGGCCCCCCAGGAGGCCCCCCAGGAGGTCCCAAAAGGCTCCCAAGAGGCCGCGAAGAGTCCCCAAGAGGCCGCCAAGAGGCTCCCCAGAGGCCTCCTAGAGGCACCCAAGAAGCTCCCGAAATGGCCCCAAGGTGCCCCCAAGAGCGCTCCAAAGAGACCCCAGGAAACATCCCTGAAGACTCTGACCCGCAGCACAGGCACGGTCGCAGGATAGGCCGAAGGCCTTTTGATACACACACACACATCCTCATCCTCATCCTCATCCTCATCATCGTCATCATCATCATCATCATCATCATCATCATCATCATCATCATCATCATCATCATCACCATCATCATCATCATCATCAGCATCATCATCATCATCACAATCATCATTATCATCATCATCACCATCATTATCAACAGCATAATCATGCTCATCACCATCACCATCACCATCACCATCATCAGCATCATCAGCATCCACATCAGCATCATCACCATCAGCATCACCATCCACATCATCATCACCATCAGCAGCATCATCGCCATCATCATCAGCATCATCACCATCACCACCACCATCATCAGCAGCATCATCAGCATCATCATCATCAGCAGCATCAGCATCACCATCAGTATCATCACCACCACCACCATCACCATCACCAGCATCATCACCATCGTCAGCACCAGCATCATCAGCAGCATCATCAGCACCATCATCACCATCTTTACCATTACGACCAGCATCCTCATCCTCACATTCATCATCGTCATCACCATCATCAGCATCATCATAACCAGCATCAGTATCGTCATCAGTATTATCATCATCATCATCATCATCATCATCATCATCATCATCATCATCATCATCATCATCATCATCATCATCATCATCGTCATCGCCATCGTCATCGTCATCATCACTATCATCGTCGTCGTCATCATCACCACCACCACAACCATTTTCATTACCATCATCAGCATCATCACAGTTATCGTCACCAACATGATTGTGATCATCGTCATCGTCGTCACCACCACCACCACCATCCTTACCCTCCTCGTTGCCCTTCTCTCACCCCCTTCTTCCTCTGCGTCTTCCGCATTTTCCTCCTCCTTCCTGCTCCTCCCCCTCCCTGCCCCTCTTCTTCCTCTTGATACCCTCTCCTCCCATCCCTCCCCCTCCCTGCTCCTCTTCTTCCTCCTGTTCCTCTCCTCCCTCCCTCCCCTCTCCTCTGGGGGGAGAATCGTATACCTGTACCGCTGCTCCCTGGATCTCTCTATAGGGGCGTGTTCAGGCCCGGACTTCGGGGCGAGTCGGGCCCTGGCGACGAGCGAAGGGCAGCGGTATCGGTACTCCAGATTTCGTAAAAAAGGGAGGGGGGTCTCATTTCGGGGGGGGGTCTTTTCCAAGCTATCTTGGAGGGCCCGGGGGGGTCTGGGGACGATGTTTTGGAGGGTTCTCCCACGGGGGGGGGTCTGAAATGGCTTGTCTTGGAGGGTCCAGACCCCCTCCCTTTATTGCGAAATCTGGAGTATCTTGTTCCTCCTCTGGTTCCCTCCCTCCCCCTCCCCGTGAGGGGGATGCCCCGCGGGGGGCAAGCATCAGCCTGGAACTGGAGCCACGTCGCCGAGAGATCGGAGACAGGCCCCCGACGACAGGTCCGCACGCTCCAGGACAGAAGTGGGCCATCGGGCTCCTGTCGGCGATCAATGGGCGATGGGGGGTCGATGCGTTCCCCCCCCCCCCTGAGCCTATGCCCCCTAATGCTACCCATAAGGTCCCTCTCCCTGCTGCTCCTCCTCCTCCTCCTCCTCCTCCTCCTTGCTCCATTCCTTCCCCTTGTAAATTACTGCTCCCTGTCGCACCCCGGGGCCAGTAATGATGGCGGGCCGGGCGCTTCGCCTGAGACTTCCTCACCACTTACGACCCTGAAGCTTCAACATTGGCAACAGTTTCACAGATGGAGGGCGGGTCGTTTTCAAAATGTGGCTTTCGCCTTAGCGCAGCCCGCATTCGTTTTGAACATTTGCAAGAGCTTCGCGGATTGAGGGCAAATCGTTTTCAAAATGTGGCTCTCGCCTGAGCTCGTTTCAACGACATTTCACGGATTGAAGGGAACCCGTTTTCAAAATGTGGCTCTCGCCTGAGCGCCGCGCACTTTCATCTTAAATAATTGTGAGAATTTCACGGATTGAGGGCGGGTCGTTTGCAAAATGTGGCTCTCGCCTTAGCGCCGCGCACATTCGTTTGACAACAATTGCAAGACTTTCACGGGATCCTATGATCAAAGTACCAGAAATGGTGTTTTGGAAGGATTCAGGGTTATGAAGGTTCAACAGTTACGTTCAGTCGCGGTGTTGAATTGTTGAATCTTAAGAGTGGCGTTCTGGCACGGTTCAGGGTCGTCACATGTAAGAGTCAGGTCGATCCGTGGCGTTGGACTCCCGAGAACAATGTTTTGGCATGCTTCAGGGTCTTGAAACGGTTGTCTTCCAACGAGGCAGTTCCCTCAATGGCAATGAACCGTTGAAGGAGCCTATGAAGAGAGAGCTTGGAGGGAGGGTTTGTTCCAGCATTGTTGATGACTCTTGGGTTTACACTGGTCCTCCTCCTCCTCCTCCTCCTCCTCCTCCTCCTCCTCCTCCTCCCTGCTCCTACTCCTCCTCCTCCTCCTCCTCCTCCTCCTCCTCCTCCTCCTCCTCTTCCACCTCCCCCCCCTCCTCCTCCTCCTCATCCCCCTCCTCCTCCTCCGCCTCCTGCTCCTCCTCCTTCCTCCTTGTCCTCATCGTCGAGACACTGCGGACAGAAAGTGGGAATCCATGGACGCAAATCGAAAGCGAAACACCGAAAAACGAATTACATAAGGCTGAGATGCTCCTCCTACTCCTCCTCCTCCTCCTTCCTCGCCGGAAAAAGCAGCCGAACGGCCCGGTCTCCTCGGCCTCGCTGCCGCCGCCATTTCCAGGCGCCTTTGGGGGGGGGGTGGCTTCGTGGTCGAGAGGCTGGTCGCCATGCGTGCCGAACGATCTTCTGCCGGCCGCCCCCCCCCCCCTCGCTCTCTTTCCTCCGTCCCCCTCCTTTTCCTCTCTTCCTCCCTCTCCCTCCTTCTCCTTTCTCCTTCCCCTTCTCCTCCTCCTCCTCCTCCTCCTCCTCCTCCTCCTCCTCCTCCTCCTCCTCCTCCTCCTCTTCCTCCGCCTCCTTCTCCTACCTCCCTCCCTCCTCCCTTCCCCACTTCCCTCCTCCCTCCTATCTCCCTCCTTCTCCTCCTCCTTCGCCTTCGCCCCTCCTCCTCGTCTCCCTCCTCAATCCCTCATCCTTCCTCCTCCTTACGCCTTCTCCCTCCTCCTTCTGCCTCCTCGTCCTCCTCCTGCTCCTCCTCCTCCTCCTCCCGCCTCCTCCTGCTGCTCCTCCTTCTCCTCCCTTCGTCTCCCTCCTCCTTCTCCTCCTCCTCCTCCTCCTTCCTCTTCCTCCTCTTCCTCCTTCTCCCTCCTCCCTCTCCTTTTTCTCTCTCCTTCCTTTTCCGTCCTCCTCCTTTTGCTCCTTCTTTTCTTCCTTCTCCGCCATTTCTCGTCCTGGTGAGTAACCTCTCCCAATCGCGTCCAAGACGTGTCGGTAGGGCGGGCCAGGCATTTCGCGCGAGACCTACTCATCATTTATTATCCTGAAGCCTGAAGTTCGCAACAACAATTTCCAGGATGGATGGTGGGTGGTTTTTGAAAATGTGGCTCTCGCCTCAGCGCCGCGCGCATTCGCCTTAAACGCTTGCAGCCGCTTCAAGAATAGAGGGCGTGCCGTTTTCAAATGGTGGATCTCGCCTTAGCGGATGGAGAGCAGGTCGTTTTCAAAATGTGGTTATCGCCCTAGCGCCGCGCACAATCGTCGCACACAGTTGAAAGTGGATGGCGAATTGTTTTCAAAATGTGGTTTTCGCCTTCGCGCCGCGCGCATTCGTCTAAGACGTTCGCAACATATTCTCTGTTTCAAATGGTTGAAGTCCCGAGAACGGTGCTCCGGCACAATTTGCGATTGTCGGGACGCAACAGGCGGCACGTTGATTCAAGGTGTTGTTGAAGTTCCAGCAATGGTGTTCTGGCACGACGCGGGTTCTCAAGCGGTTGTTCATCATTAGGGCACTTTCCGCAACGACGAAATATCCTGGCGAATCTGGTGCAATCTGTGGTGCAATATCGGTGGTGCAATCTCTGTGGTGCGATCCGTGTGGTGAAATATACGCGGACCAACCTATGTGGTGCAATTCACTTTGACTGTCTTGAAGCTGTCTTCTCCACTGCTCGTGCAAACATCCCACCTTCCCACCCACAACTTGGACGCAAGACCTTCTGAGATCATGACGGTGGGTACCAAATGGCACTGGGCAACGACACCGACGCCGACGACGACAGCGACAACGATGACGACGACGACGCCGCCGACAACGACGCCGCCGACAACGACTACGACGACACCAACGACGTCTCCAACGACTTCGACGACGACGACAACGACGACGACGACGACAACACCGACGGCGACGACGGCGACGACGCCGACGCTCACGACGACGACGACGATGACAACGCCGACGACGACGACGACGCCGCCACCGACGACGACGACGACGACGTAGACGCCGACGACGACGACGACGACGGCGACGACGAAGACGACGACGACGACGTCGCCAACGAAGACGACGACGACGACGACGAGGGATGAGGGAGGACGACGACGGCGACGACGACAACGACGAGGGAGGAGGGAAGACGACGACGACGACGACGGCGACGAAATAGGAGGAACAACGACGAAACGCCGACGAAGACGACGAGGGAGGAAGGACGACCACGGCGACAACGACGACGGAAACGACGACGACGCCAAGACGACGACGAGGAAGGACAGAGGACGACGACGGCGGCGACGACGACGACGACGAGGGAGGGAGGACGGCGATGACGACGACGACGACGACGCAAGAGCGCGCGCGCACGCTTTTGTTGAAAATCCATGTTGCGACACCTGTTTTTTTGTAGTTTTTTTGGACACGCAATTTTGAATTCCTTCCGACACCGAGGGTTTTTGAAGGATTTCGGCATACGCGCGCGACGACGCGCGCGTCTGCACTTCGTCTCATTTTTTGAAGAGGATTCTCGCGACGGCACACGCGCAAGGGCGTTCGACAGATTTCGACGTGCGCGCGCGCGAAGCCCGTTTGGTAGCATTTTGTGAGAATCTTGAAAAACCTATGGTTTATTTAAGATTTCGCAAGAGCTCGCGCGTAAGCTTGTTTAGCAAATCAGTGTTGCGAGACCCTGTGTTTTTTACCTAACAGCTTTTGCTGATAGGTTTCTAGTGGTCTCAAAAGAGAGCAGCAGATGACTCCACAGGGGGGTCGGGGCGGGACCCGGGGCGGTGCCGCCGAAGCCCAAATCGCTTAGGACATCCTCGCAAAATCGCTCTTGGTGCTCCCAGAACTCCATTCCCGGGCCACATTTTGGATGCCCGGAGCTAACTGTAGGCCACGTCGTGCTCTTCGACTTCCCAGAACTCCATTCCCGGGCCACATTTTGGATGCCCGGAGCCAACTGTAGGCCACTTCGTGCTCTTCGATTTCCCAGAACTCCATTCCCGGGCCACATTTTGGATGCCCGGAGCCAACTGTAGGCCACTTCGTGCTCTTCAAGTTCCCAGAACTCCATTCCTGGGCATGATTTTGAATGCCCGGAGCCAACTGTAGGCCACTTCGTGTTCTTCTAGTTCCCAGAACTCCATTCCTGGGCCACATTTTGAATGCTGAGGCAGGCTGATGCTGCGGCCGAGGCAGGCTGAGGCTGAGGCAGGCTGAGGCTGAGGCCGAGGCTGAAGGCAGCTGAGGCTGAGGCTGAGGCTGAGGCTGCTGAGGCAGGCTGAGGCTGAGGCTGCAGGCTGATGCTGAGGAGGCTGAGGCTGAGGCTGAGGCTGAGGCTGAGGCTGAGGCTGAGGCTGAGGCTGAGCTGAGGCTGGCTGAGGCTGAGGCAGGCTGAGGCTGAGGCTGAGGCAGGCTGAGGCTGAGGCTGTGACTGCGACTGCCGTTGCCGCTGCGACTGTCATCGCGAATGCGACTACGACTGCGAGAACAGCAGAATTCGACAACTGGATTTTCATCTGAATCTTAAGGGGAATGCTTTCAGATATGCTTCTACACATCGCTGTTAGGTTGCTTTGCCGGGATACTTGTATGTTTTTTGGGAACTCGATTGCGAAATCCTTCCGAGACCGAAGGTTTTTGAAGGATTTCGGCATGCGAGCGCGACGACGCGCGCGTGTGCACTTCGTCCCATTTTTTGCGAGGGATTCGTGAAGACGTCTTATGCTAGAACTATGCTAGAACAAACATGTCCCCACGTATTGTGTTTTTTGTCAAGGGAACCTCAGGGGGACCGACCCTGGCCCCCCTGGAATAGAGCAAATTCATATTTAGGATGGACATGTGGTCAGAATCATATATGATTTACATGCCCGAATGGGGGGGCCGATAACGCTGGGGGGGGGGGAGTTTATTTTTTGTAGAAAGGAGAATCTATGCGCCGCAATCTGTGCGGCACAGATCAATACACAGCAATGCGAAACATAGCGACGCAATGCAATGCAATTGCAAATCGGTGCAGTCGCAACACAATGCAACGCAAACGATGCAAAGAGATGCAAAGCGATGCAAGGCAATGCAGAGCAATGAGCAATGCAAATAGGCCAGGCGGCTACGAGGCGGCAACGGCGACGACGCAGCCGCCAGACCGCCACACACGCCGAGACGACGGGCGGCAACGAGGCGGCGACGGCGGCCACAAAGTCGCTGGACCAACACACAAGTCCGAACGATGGGCGGCAACGAGGCGGCGACGAGGCGGCGACGGCGGCTCCGTGCCTTAGAGAAGAAACGCGGGCCCCTAAGGGCAAACACTGCTTGAGGAATGTGTGCTCACCCAAATTCAGATGTATATGAATGCATGTTTATATACGTCTGTATGTATATACATGTCTGTGTACGTATACATTTATGTCTATGTATATGTATTTATATGTGTACATGTATATGCTCATGATTATGTATGTGTATAGGCATAGGTATGTGCATGTGGATCATATGTCATTGTATACTGATACATCGCTGTTTTTTATGCGTGGTTGCGATGACATGTCATTTACGTGCATGCGAATGTCTGTGTATGTGCATGTGTATGTGTACGTGCATATGCATAGGCGTAGTATGTATATGTATATGTATATGCATGTGTTCATGTTCATATAAGTCTATATATATAGATCTACGGAATCAACGCGCGCCCTACGCGCGCACGCTTAGGTTCTAGCCGACTGCGCTGTCATTGCCACTGGGCCTGGCACGAATACAGGAAACAAGAGGTACCAAAGGAGAGGTGCACCAGGCAAGGGCCACAATTGGCTCGTGGAGGTGCTGGGCCTTCAGGGGGATAGTTTCGGGTTCGGTAGGCGGTCGCGGAGCCGTGCGAGATCGACGTGCGACGCGCCGCAAGGCTCCGGGCGTTCTCCAAACTGCGCAGCTGACGTGACTGCCACGGTGGCCGAGGATGGCGCCAGAGGCTCCGGGCCGCCAGGCCGCCGCCGCCGCCCCCGCGGGCGAGGCCGCCGCAGACCCCGCCGCCGCCGTCGTGATAATCGTTGCGGTGGTCGTCGTAGTGGTCGCGGTGGTTGTGGTGGTCGTCTGTGGACGTGATCGGACGATTGCATGTTCTGTGGCGTGTTTTGCTTTTGTGAGGCTTCCGGGGGCCTCCAAACTCTGAAGATCCGTGGGGCCTCTGGGGCCTCTGGAGGCCTCCTGGGCCTCTCCTGAGCCTCGCAAGGCTACCCCGGGGAACTCTGGGGCACGGCCTTGGAGGGCGCGCCAAGGGAACTCCCAGAGCAGCCCCAAAACCCGAACAAATTAGCCAATATTTCACACCTTGCGCCCTTGACGAGGAAGCGGTTTGTATTAAAATTGTATTAGTAGAAGTTGGGGTCCTCTTGGGGCCGTCTCTTGAAGCGTATTGGGCGCGGCTAGGGCCGTCTCGGGGGTATCTTGGGCCGTCTTGGTCCCTCTTGGGGGCCTCTTGGGTCGTTTTGGGGGTGGGGGGGGTCTTGGGGGCCTCGCGAAACGTCGCTGAGCGTCAGAAGCTCGAAATATCGACCCCCCCGAAAACACAGAAAACCGGTAGGCAAATCATTGGTGTTTGCTTTTTGCGGCCATCTGGACGCGCTGCCGGGGGGGGGCCCGCGACCTGCGCCCGCGCGCGCAGGAAGCGTTGCAAAGAGGCTGCGCAAACGCTTGCGGCCCACGTTTACGCAATGAGCCGGCAAGCGCTTGCGAGACACGCTGAAAGTTCAAGCAGGTCGCCGCCGCGTTCCCTGACCGACTGTGCTGCGGGGGAAAAACTGGCCTAGCAGCCTGTTGGCTTCCTCCCTGACACCCCCATGCAGCTCCTTCGAAGAGCTATCCGGGAACGTTCTGCCCGACTCTCTCTGTCTTTTTTCTTCCCTCCCTCGCCTTGCTCGTTTGTAGCCCGCGGGCTCGGGCGGCGCTGCGTAGGGGGCAATCGAAGCGCTGACCGCGACCCTCAACGCCCCCGTCAGGGAGCTGCTCTGGTGGCGCCTAGGCGCTGCTGCGCGGGGCCGCGCGCGAGCTCGCGAAGCGCAAGGAGCTGCGCAGAAACCCTGCTCTGCTGGACTCGGCCACGATGCCACGCGCGTGGCCCTCCTCGCCACTCGCTCTGCCGCTGCCCCCGCCGCCTCCGCCCCCGCTGGGGCTCCGACCCGGGGCGGGGGGCCACGACCGCAAGACGCCGCCGATCCTGCATCCTCGAGGGGGCGGCGGCGAGGACGGCGGCAGCCTCGGCCCCGCCCGGCGCGGGGACCTCCAGGAGGGCCAGTCCCCCCACGGTCTCTCTGGGGGAGCCGGCGGGCAAGCCAAGATGCTCCGGTACCTCTTGCGCGTCGACGGAGTCGGAGCCCGCCCCCATCGACATGGCGACGACGCTCGCACTCTGGGTGCCTCCCCCAGGGGGCGGGGGGAGGGCTCGCTCAACAAAGTCCTGAGTCGCCGCCGCTCTCGCGGCCGCCGGCGGGCCCTGATGCGATGGAAACGACCCTTTACACATTCGAGCTTGGTTCTTCCCTCTTCTGAATAGAGGGACGCGCTCTGCGGAAAGCCACCTCCATCGGTCGCGGCGGTAAGCCCGCTGCCCTTGCAGAAAACGGGGCCATGCTGGCTCATCATGTCGAAGCGGTGCTTCGAATGCATCCGAGTCGAGCCCGCCCGCGCCTCTCTCGCAAACGCCTCGAAACGCTCGCGCGCGTCGGAGGCGCCCGCCGGCCTCCAACGTCTCGGCCGAGTCCGACGGAGGCAGAGCGCGGGGCCGTGGCGACCGCGAGAACGAGGCCCCTAGGAGCGATCAGTTCACACTGTGCACGCCGCCACCGACCCGCAGACGCCGCGAACCGATGATTGCTTGCGTTCATTGCAATGGGCAATCTTAGATGGTTTCTCGACGCGGCGCGAGGGCGGCGCTGCGACCCCCTTCCCCAGGGTTCGGTCTCAAGCGCCGTCATGGAGGCACTGTGAGCACGCCTGCGCACCAGCGTCGACGTCGCCCCCCATGGGTCCGCCCGATGGGGGGCGGCTCCCCCGCAAAGACACATCGGCGCTGGCGTTGCCCTGGCACGGGGGAACATCAAACTCCGAGGTGACAAACTGCCGGTGCCCCTCAAATTTGGGCGGGGCATGAGCCGAAGAGGCGCCCCCAGGGCCGCGGGCGGCCAACGCCCGAGCAGCGCAGACCCACGCGTCCCCGTTCTGGCCCCTGGGGGCTTCTGCGCGCCGAAAAAGCAAATCCGAAATCAAACTCGCGCAGCCTGTGGCGCAGCCAACCGGCCCTCTCGCATTCTCCAGCGCGAAGCAAAAGGCTTGCAATTCACCTCTGAGGGACGTCCGCCCTCTGCCTAAGAGAATCTGCGCAACTCCGCGTCGTGGGCCGCTGCCGAGAAGCCTCGGGGCCCCGATGCGTCGCGACCAGCGCCGAGCCCCACCTCCTACGATGAGGTCCGCACTAAAAAAGGCGCCCCGAGCCGTCTCGGAAAATGGCCAGGGGGGGCGCTTCCAGGGTCCGAGCACAAGTCGCCAATGGTGCCTTTTCGGAGCAAGACGTCCTGCATGGCCCCAGTAGACTCAGAGAAAGCGGGCGCAGTGGCGGTACTCGAAGGCGCGCCCCGCAGCCACGAAGCCGGTTGGACCTCGAGGCCCGCGAAGGCCTGGTGAACTAGAAAATCAGTTCAGGAAATCATCGTGCCCGCAGTTTGCTGGGCATGATCACGTTCTCTGAGCCAAAGTCTCTGGGCCTCTCTGCAGCGCGGACACGGCGGCGAGCACTCATGCCCCGCTGCAATCTGCCTGTCACGCGCCCAGTGGCCTCCAAAGATGGCTGCGAGGTCGACGGCCCGCTCGTCGAGCCCCGCCCTCTTGACGAGCCGACTCAGCTCGACGCGCGCCGTCGCCATGTCGCCGCCGCCCGACAAATCCTCACCTGTCACGCGTCTGGCGGCTTGCTGCCACTGCAGCGCCACGCAGTCGCCCGCGCAGGCGCCGAGCACGTCCTCGAAGTGAGCTAGGACAACTGCGTCGAACTGGTCATCGCCGAAGGTCGGGGAGATCCCGTCGTCGATCGCGCCGCGAGCCAAAGGGCGAATCCAAACCGTCACCGACAGCGGGCCCCGCCCCGCTTCGTGGAACGTCGCCTGCAGCGCGGCGATGCGACCGCGCACTCCGCGCCGCCTGACCGCCGAGCCCCGGCGGAGCTTCGTCCGCGCGCGCGGCCAGGCCTTCGCAATCCTGGGGCGCAGGGCTGGCTGGGCAGGCCACAGGGCGACCCGCTCCTTGAGCAGTCGCCTCCTCGGGCCAACGTCTGGGCCCGACGCGCCGCGCGCCGCCGGCAGCGCTGGCGCCGAGCAGCGGCCGCGCTTGGCCCCCGCGGCGCCAGCCACAGCGTCGCGGCGCATCGCCTGGGCGTCGACAGCAGGGCGCCCGCGATCCGATGGCCGCAGACCGGGGCGGGCAGGCCGCCCGCGCAGAACACGTTCTTCGTGATAAACTTGCTCGGCGGCGACCTCCTCGACCTCATTGCCTTCTGCTGCCAGCGCCGCGCCCGGGCGCGCCGATTCACGGCGCGCAGCGTGCCCCGCCTGCGCCGGGCAGCATTGTCCGAGCCCATCAACGCAGGAATGCCCATATATGCACGTCGCCGCCCCAACTCCACCCCGATCTCGCCCGAGCTCGCGACCAGCTGCGTCTTGCCCGAGATCCTAAACAAAAGACGACCTAGCCTGGCAGCCATGACTCCAGCGGTCGCGCTCGGGTCTAAAATCACTCGACGCCCCGCGCCTTCGGCCCCGCGCAAAATGTTGTCGACGTAGCTCCATCGCCCCGCGGGCGGGGCGCGATGGGCGCCGTCCAGCTGCCGTGCCGGCGCGCTGCGAGAGCTGGAGGGGTGCCATGACTGGAGGCCCGCGACAAACGATCTCGAGACAGCCACCTCGGGAGGGGGGGGCCGATCTCGAGGGCGGTCTGCATTGGCGAGACGAAAATCACCGAATCATGCAACTTGGTCAAGCCCGAGATCACAGCCACATGGTCGAACGCAAACTCTCCAGCCCCTGCGCCCATCGCAGCGCGGGCGAGGGCAGCCCTCAACGCGGATGACCCCGCGATCGCAGTATCCCGGATGGCAGACGTAGAGGACGGCCGCTCTCCCGACGCCTTGGGGCGGGTCTTCGACCGCGCCCCCCGCGGCGTCGGGGCCGCCCCAGCCGCGCGGTTGTCGCCCAGCTCCTCGGGGGCGCCGGCGCCCGAAGCAGCGCGCGAACGCGACGGCCGGGCGCCGGCCGCCTCGACCGCGTTCAAGATGTCCACGAGCTGCTGCCGCGCCGCGCAGGATTGGCGCTGGGCGCGCGCCGGGCTGAACGCAGCGGCCCCTTTCGCCCGCTCGGCAGGGTTCTCCGGCAGCGCGGCGCCCGCGTCCAAGATCGCCTTGGCGGGGGGGGCGACTTCCGAGCCGCCTTCGGGGGCCCCGTCGGCATCGCCGCCGCGCCCTCCGCCGCGCCCGCTGGGCCGCGCCGCGCGCGGGCCCGCTCGCAAGCAGAGGCCTGGAACAGCAGCTGCTTCTCCGTGGCGGGGGGGGCCGCTGGGGCCGACCACTTCCAATTCAAGAGGCGGCGCGGGCTTCGCGCGCCTGCGGACTGCCCCAGGCTTCACGGGCCGCATCTCATTGGCCCACTTCATGGCAGAGGCCCGTGCCGCCAGCTGCGCGGGGGGCGCGGGCCAGTCCGCCCGCGAACGCGCCCGTTCGACCAGCGCGCCAAATCGGTGCTCAAAAACTTCGTCGGGGACCGCAGCCGTCTGCTTCAAATTGTCGACAGCAGGAACGACTGCCTTCCGGCCATCATGCCCCCACCACCTTGTCAGCATCCACTCTGCCGATCATCCACCTCGCCTGGCGCCCGCAGTATCCAGCCTGAACAGGGCCAGTGCAATTGGGCAGCGAGCCCCAGCACGGACGCCCAGCGACCGTGCATCATGTCGACCTGGCACTTCGACTCGGCCTGTCAGTCGAAGGCGAAGCGCTTACTCAAGTCGAAGGCTGCCCGCTTGGATCTGCCCCCCCGGGCTCGCCAGGACGAAAGGAGGGGGGCCCCTCCCAGCCAGCTTGCAGCTGGGCCTCAACCCGCGTCGACTCGGGGATGCTGAACGAGGTGGCCGCGCGGGCGGGCTCCTGCGGCGGCTACAGCTCCACGAGCGCCTCCAGCATTCCCTCGGGGAGTGCCTGCTGCCGGCGGAGACAAGCAGCCTCGCGCTTCTTCGACCTCTTGCTCTCCGGATCGAGCGCGCGTGGCCTCTCCCAGGCGGGCAGATCCCTCGCGGCGGCGAGATGGCGACGCCAGCGCTGCTCACGAGCCGTCTTGACACTCACCGCCACGCCACAATGTGACTTCCAAGGGGCCCGAAACTCAGGGCGCGGCGACACCTCGGGGCATCCTGAGCTGGTCAGACTGCATCCGCGCGCGCGCTCTGGCCCCGCGACGCCGGTGGCGCGGCAATTCGGGGTCGCGGTCGCCGCGCCGAACCTCGCGGGCCACCCAGAGGAGCGAAGAGGCTCGGGCTCGATATTCCAATCCGCCAGCACTGGCCACGGGTTCGCCGTCGCCTGCGCGAAGGCGCCCAAGGCTACCAGCGCGCCTCTGGTCCGGACCCTCATTCCCAGGCCAAGCATCAAATGGGCCGAGATCAGCGCGAGGTTGCCGGCCTTGGTGCGTAGCACGATGGGGGCGAACCCTCGGCGTGAGTCCAGCCTCCCCGCGCCGCGCGAGGCAGACCTCGCACTCTCAAACGTGGACGTCGCGACCTGCTGTTTGGTGAAGATGCACTCCCACCCTGACAATTCACTCTCCGACTTGCCCATGGACGGGCCGCCGTGATACTCAGGCGACAGCCGTCGCTGTCGAGCGACTGGTAATGTCGGTCATGTCGGATGCGCCTCCGTGCGTCTCGAAGAAGGACTAGGACGTTGCGCGCCCGCTCCTGGGCAAGAAAGCGCGTCGCCTGAGGCTCCCACTCCATGATGCTGCCGAAGAACATGTCCGGGGACTGGGACCTCCAGACCGATCAGGTACCTGGACACCCACGGGGTGTCCTCGGTCAGGAAGACCAGCCAAGGGCACCCAGCAGCGCTGGCAGCAGCACTCACGCCCTTATCGACCCTTGTCGCTGCCCTTGCCCTTGCCCCAGGCAGCGGCAGCCGCGGACAAGGTCTTCGCATCAGCCTTGTTCCGCTGCAGCGTGGCCTGCTGCTCCGCCTCGGGCACCACTTGCTTGGCTCTGACAGCGCGGGCAGGGGCGGCCGCTGAGATGCCCGCGGCGGCGCCGCTGGCTTCGCCGCCGCCAGCGGCGTCGCCGCCGAACACCGCGGCGCCGTCCTGGTTGCGGCGGCGCCGCTTCTTGGACGCCTCCGTGTGCACGGCCCGTGCCTTTTTCGAACAGCGCCTGAAATTCCTTCTGCTTCGCGCCGGTCAGCTGGGTGGCGACCTGCAGCTGCTTTTGGAAGTTCTCCAGCTGCTGCCTGTCCTCGGCCGCCAAAACGTCGAGAGCCTCGAGCAAGGCCGTACCCATGACGAAAAGAGCATGCGGTTTCGAGGCCTCGGGCGGGGCGACAGCCTCCTGCGCCTTGAGGCGGCGCAGTTCCAACACCAACACCTCCTCCGCGGCCTCGTCGAACTTGACTTGGGCTTTTTCAAGGAACTGACGCGTGCTCTCCAGGCCGCGCGCCGCCCTCTCCAACGCCTTTTGCGGGGACACACCATCGCAGCCTCCCTGATCACCGCATGCCCAGGTTTAGACGGCGGGGCGGCCGCCTGCCTCTTGGACTCCGCGAGAGACGTGACCTGCGCCGCCAGCCGCGCCGCCTCGGGATCATCGCCGAAACCGATGTGGGACACGTGGTCGCTGAGCTTGGACAGGGGCGGTGGCGACTTCGCGGGCTGTAAATGGCGGGGTCGCGCGCTCCAAGGCTGCCACCACGTGACGCTGTCGGTTGTGACCCAGCCTGGCTGCACCGTGCCGCACACCGCGCACGTACCCTGCTGCTGCTTGAGACGCCAATGCCACACCCAACAGTCGCAGTTGACCTAGTGCGAGTAGCCACTCTTGACATCCTTGCCCATTCGCTCTACCAGGTGCTCACAGGAACAGAAGCTGCTCCGACAGGATCTCACAACAAAAGGCTCGGGGTCTGGCCGCGGACGAGCGGCTTCTCCGTGGTTCACCTGAGGACCTTGCATCTTGAACCAAAATGGCTACGGGACTGCGCAAACGGCCCACGCACTGGGGAAGAATAACAAAGCGTTTCCGTGTCGAGCAAGCCGCTGCAACGCTCTGGCCAGCAACCGTGGAGAGAAAGCTGGCCAACCCGGGCCTGAGGGCTTCTTCTCTAGAACCCTTTTAGATATGCCAGGAGCTGCACATCCCGGAATGACAAGCACGGAGAAACGCCCCGCTTAAGACGAAGCCAGGGCGAGGATCAAATAGGGTGGGGAAATATCGAGAATCTCTGAGAACCGGCGGTTCTGGAGGAAATCTCGGACGCCACGCCCTTCTCAAAACGTTCCGGAACGCTCTGGCTACGGCTATACGGCGGCCCCGCGGCGCCTGCTCAGGTACACGCGTGTCCTCAGCAGGCGCCCAACCGGAACGCTCTGGAACGGATTCAATCGGGCCGGGCGAAAGGGGGGGATAGCGAAGGGGGGGGTTTGAGAATCAGCTCTTGTAGCTGATTTCCCCAGCGCCTCCCGGCGCTGCGAGGCGGCCATGTGCCGAGGAATGGGCCCGGCGGCGGGGCCGAAACCAGCTGCACGCCGCAGATTTCGTACCCCCCCTTTCCCTCATCCCCCCCTTCCCGTTCGGCCCGACCTGGCCATCGCTCGGAAGTCCATTTCCTGTGCTTTTTCGGCTTCGTGCGTGGCTTTTTCGCCACATGATCAAGGAGGCTCCTCGATGGCCCTCGCCGAGAGAACAAAAATGCACACGTCCGAGAGCGATGCCAGGCCTGGAACGGACTTTAACCTCGTGCCATACCCCGTCCGCACGTTGCCGCACCGTGCCTCGAATTCGGGGATGGACAGAACCCCCTTTAGTAAAACGTGGTTTAGTGAAAACGACCAGAGGCCCAAACCTGGCGGGCGCAAGCCTGGAAAATAACAGCCACGGCGCCATCTCGAGAACCGAAAACGAACAATTCACTAATCGACGTGTCACTGTTGGGGGTTCTGTCCACCCCCGACGAATAGGGCCAAAGGGCGCCACTGCCGGGCCCTCCGCGGGCGCAGGCCTCTCTTGCGGAGGGCCCGACAGCCACTGCCGCCCTTCGGAACGGCCGCGGGCGGCGGCGACGGCGGGAGCAGGGAGCGGGATCCCCCTCGCCAGGCCTCGCCTCGCGCGCGCGGGGCCCGGCCGAGAGGAGGCGTTGATAGGCTTGTTTTCCACTACCACCGCCATAAGTTGGAGGGGGAGGGGGTCCTCCTCCTCCTCCTCCTCCTCCTCCTCCTCCTCCTCCTCCTCCTCCTCCTCCTCCTCCTCCCCCTCCAACTTATGATGGTGGTCGTGGAAGACAGGCCCATCAGGCGTGGCTGGGAGCGGCGGGGCGCGCAGACCGGCGGGGGCGGGGCCCTCGCGGCCGCGGCCGAACCACCCCCCTGGCAGACCATCTGCGACGGAGCCAGGACGAGCACTCTGGGCGGGATCTTGATCGAGGGGTGGGCGACTAACCTTCCGACGGAGCTTGACAATCCCCGCCCCCCTCCTCGAACTCGGTGCCTCACCGATCTCAACGCGCCCCCCCAAAAATCCAACCAACACGAAGAACACTGGGGTCCCCTCCCCGATCCGACCTCGCTCTTATGCTTCGGTCCGACGGTACTTCCTAAAGATCTGCGTTTCTGTCGAGGCGCCAGCGCCGAAGCATCCGGAACGACTTAGCAGGACCGACTGTACCAGAGGCCCCTACACGGCCCTGAGACCCTCCTGCACTTCCCCAATACCTCGAGAAGACTCCAATATGCCCCAAGAGCCCAAACAGGGATCGACCCGAACAAACCTTTTCGTTTTTATTTCCCTTCCGTTTTCCCTCGTTTTGCGCTCAATCCGCCTTCGCTGCAAAGCGACATCGAAACGAAAACGGCCAACGAAATCGCCAAGACATCGTTCAGGTCGAGCCCTAAGACCTAAGAGAGCCCAACACGACCCTGAGATGTCTCCAATAGGCACCATCCTACTACTGCTACTACACCTCCTGCTCGCACATGATCCTCCGTCTGCGGCGTTTCCGTCTTCTCATCCCCCTCCTGGACCTCCTCGTCGTCCTCCACTTCCCCCCTCGTTTTCCTGAGGGTCGGCGGAATGAGAGGTTAGATACGACGGCGGTGATGATTACGGTAATTATGGTAGTGGTGGCACTGGTGGAAGAGAGAGGGGGAGAGCGAGAGAGAGAGAGAGAGAGAGAGACAGATATAGACAATACAAGACAAATGACAAAGAGGGGCACGTATACAGATATGGAGAGAGAGATAGATACACATAGAACGAGAGAGAGAGAGAGAGAAATCGAGAGGGAAAAGAAAGGAGAAAGGAGAACGTGATAGAGAAAGAGAGAGAGAGAGAGAGAGAGAAACATCAAAAATACACACAAACTGATAAAACACAAAAAAAGAAGAGAGAGAGAGAGAGAGAGAGAGAGGGGGAGAGGAAAGAGAACGAGAGAGTGAGTGAGTGAGAGAGGAGAGCGAGAGAGGGAGACAAGGAGAGACAAGGAGAGCAAGCGAGAGAGACAGAGCGAGAGACAGAGCGAGAGAGGCGAGAGAGAGAGAGAGAGAGAGAGAGGAACGCTTGGCGAGAACACAGCGGAAAAGAGGGGAACGACGGGAGGGGAGGCGAGGGAGGAGCCCGAGAGCCCCGCGAGGGCGGCGGGAGGAGAAGCAGGACGGCAAAAGGGGGAGGGGCCGACGGGCGGGGGAGGCACCCCGTCGGGCCCCTGCGCGGCGCCGGGGCCCTGGCCGCCCACCTGCCGCTGCACGGACGCCGACCGACGGCGACCGACGACGACGACCGACGACGATCGACGACGACTACGACGAGGACGACGAGGACGACGACTACGACGACGACGACGAGGAGGACGACGAGGAGGACGACGACGAGGACCGACGGTCGACGAAGACGAAGAGCTCGACGGTCGATGACGACGGCGACGATGGACGAGGAGGGAGGAAAGGCGGGGGGGCAAGCGTAGGAAAAGGCTGGAGGGGAGGAGGAGGAGGAGGAGGAGGAGGAGGAGGAGGAGGAGCAGGAGGAGGAGGAGGAGGGGGAGGGGGAGGGGGAGGAGGAGGAGGAGGAGGAGGGGGAGGATTAGGAGGAGGCCGAAGAGAGGGAAGGCCGCTGGCCCTGGGCCCCCGCGCCGGGTCGCAGGAAGGGGTGGTGGGGGGGGCGGCGGCCCCAGTGCGCGGCCGCGATCGGCTGCGCGCCTGCCACTTATCAGCCTCGAACGTATCCCCATCCCTAAGATTGACACGCCAAAAGGCGATGACAATCTTAGGGATTGGCCCTCAAAAAATCAAGGAATCCCTAAGGTTGGCATCGTGATGAGGAGGTGCCCAGCACAGGGATAGGGATATGTTCCAGGCTGGTAAACCACGTCTGCAAGAATCTCTGGATGTACAATCTCGTCCACCTGGGTGAACATCCGCGAGAAGGACAGCAGCTGCGACCACAGCACTAAACATCAGATGCAGAACACACGGCTACGCGACTCAGCCACTTTCGTGGAGACGTGCCGGCAAAGATGCCGAGACCATTCACGCAGAGAGGAGCATGGCCGCGAACGCGAACAGACGCATGGGGTACAGTGTCCGTAAG